TAAATGGCAATTCTCTTACTTGATCCTCATTTGCCGTAAATAGAAGAAAATTATGCTCTATTTGGTTGATTGAAATGTGATGGAATGGAATGATGATTACTATTCCTTTAAAATGGTGAAAGATGATTCTATTTGAAATGCATTTGTAATTATTTTTTGAGTCTAACCAAATATGGGAATGAGTATTTTAATAGAATGATCATTCGATTCCATTTTGTTCCAATGAACCAAATGCTACCTAATGGCCTTAACGATCAAAAACAAAATTTACAATCAACTGAACCATCAGTAGCAAATTTTGCACAAAATCAATGATGAATCAAATCCTTCACCAAATTTCAAATAGTGGTATTTTTATTCAAATTTGATAAAATTCTAGAAAGAATATCAGGGATGATTTTCTTTTATACAAAATGGTTGAAACAAGTTTTTGGGTAAGTTCAAAAATTTTCAAAAATATTTTATCCAAAAAAAAGAGAGTGCGAATTGGAGTGTTCTATACGAGATCAAGCTTTGAATGAAATTTTCACTGAAATTTGATGAAAAAAATGAGTACAAATACCTGGGTAGCTATTGGAGAAGAAAGGTTGAAGAATGGTTTTGGTATGGAGATCATCCCATTCTAGAGATTCCGACCATTTTCCCTCTCCATAAATGTGCTGAAGAGCAGGTGGTGCAGGTGCTTGCTCACCGTCCTCATTCATGTACAAAGAAATAGGCAATCTACTTAAGGGCAAGCAACTAAGTCACTATTGATATTGACAAGTATTTTGATGCAAACACATAGGGGAGGCCATTTTTAGAGCAACTTCGCGACTAATAGTCATCAACTCTCTTGTCTTGTGCTTCTTTCAAACAAACCAATCTTAATGGTCTAAATTAGAGATTGATGTTTGTAAGCTCCTTCACATAATTAATTATAACGGTTCCTTTTCGTTGCCTTTCTTGCATCAATTCAGAAAAATAACGACGTAACTTTGAAAAACAAGGAAAGAATGTCACACCTCAAAGCCAACCAAGCTAGGCATGTGACAATGTCACACACCTATAAGACTTACAACACCCTGGGAGCATGCATAAAAGAGATGGTGAGAAATTCAATTCAATTTCATTCCACAAAATAATCATGGCAATCAGGAGATGAAATCGCAATTAGTAATTCTTTAATTCACAATACCAAAAGTTTCAACAACAATCCACAAATTTAGTTTAGCTAGTTTAATGTTTAGAGCATGCCAAACCTAGAGTTCCATTGCCTCCATCAAAGCAAACAAGAGTTCTATAATTTAGATTAATATCGCAACAAAACAATTCAAAATAGCTTCTACTTGTAGCACTCTATCCCAATAATAACTTCCACCACACTATTCTTCTAGATTTGTAATCAAGAGGAAGGCGATCAGTTTGATAGCTCAATAATTAACTACTGCAACAACTAACGGAATCAATTATACAAAAAAAGAAAATTTTCAATTAATAAAGTTAAACAACATAATTTTTTTTGTGATTCACGAGTGTAAAGAAAACGTTATGTACTTCAGTTAATAGTTACATACTTAACCATAAATATAATTTGTCATTTATTTTTATATTCTTGTTTGAGTATCACTATTTTGAACGCCGTTTATATAATTTTTCCATTCAACTCCAAAAAAGATTGATTAAGGTTTTTTAATTGCTTTTAGAAATTTTGAAGTGTATTTAAAATGCTTTTTCAACCTCTAGTCTTTTTGTTAAAATGTCTCTTATTGCATTTCTCTGTTGAGTGATGATATGTGATTGCTTGTAGTACTGGCACATTAATATTGGTAATCCTTTTGTATAAACAAAAAGAAATTTACTTGTCACAAAAAATTATTTTTTTACAGATTAGTATCTAGCAAATTGAGTTTATTATTATTTTTGTATTTAACTTTATTTTCTCATATTTTATTATAAGATTATTGAAAATTATTCCTACAAGAATTTGCACAATTTTAATTGTGTTTTATTAGAGAATCCACAAAATCTAATCTTACATAACAATGTCCTATATGTGAGACCAGGATTCCGTTTAGTTCATAGTATGGATTAGATGTGGTCACCACCATAGGTTTATTTTGATAATTCAAATGATTCATTTTGTAAAATTTTTTGTATATACCATCTACATAAAAGAATTAGATCGATCTGATATGCATAATCTATTTAATTTATCATGTTTATTAATTCAAGCCTAGCTATTTGAAACTGTTGGATTTATTTTCTAGTGTGGCCCAATAGCCTACATATTTTTACATGTTTTATTTTATTTGGATTCCACAATTAGATAAAGCCAATATTATATATAAAGTTCAGTAATTAAAATTTTAATATAATCACTCTTCTAAGATAAGAAGGAAACCTTGATGGATTAGGAATTCTTCTGATAGAGTTTATTTGGCCCTCTTCTCTCCTCTATATAAGGATGGGTGACACCCCTTTCATATCATGAGTATTTTTTTCATCACTTTAAGTTTTATAGTCATCCTAATTAAGATAGACAAAGAGAAGAAGGTAAGCTAAGAATTCAAGGTTCAACTATTAGGGGTATTCTCTCAACTTCTCTAATTCAATGGCTGACAAAGGTATGTTTATCACGCCCCACTTTTTATTACTCGACGCCATTACCAAATTCATTAACTTAATTCAATTTCAGAGTTAACATGCGGAAATAAACTCATACATTCAATCCATAGAAATGAATATAAATACTCTCATTCGTATGCAAAGTAAATGTTACATGAACATACTCAATAAATTGCCCTTGGGCTTACAACCTTTAAATAAACAAATGAAGGGGTGTAACCCTTTTACACATATGGTGTTCCGCCAACAACAAAGAGGCCCTTTGTTTTATTAAAAGTATTGACTTTAAAATATTATCTCAATTTGTTTGTATTGATCAAACGTGTAATGATTTTTGTTATGCTATTTACATGCTCTCCATAACCCTTTACAATAAGCAGATACATAGCCATGACTTTAAAGTTTGCATGATAATAGTCCACTTATCTGCCACATAGGTTGGTTGGTTAAATTTAAAGTTAAAACCTTGCCTTCTTATTAGAGAATTGGACAAGTTTTTTTTTTTTTTAAAACAAGCCACGATAAAAAATTTGACTCAGGCCGTTACTTAGTCATTGCACAATCCAACTGATTTTGCTACCAATTTTAGTTGACTTGGTACATCAAAAATTGATTACAAATTATCGGATTAAAAGTGATTTTAGAATTCATTGAATCATTCAGTCTATTAAATAAATATTTGATTGTATTACGTCAAAGAATTATGGTTTTATCTTGTCTGACTATGTACACTTTATTATTAATATTTATATATTTTCATGATCTAAAATTGATATCATGATACAATTTTATGACATTAACGATTAAATATTGAAGTGGTTAATTCATATTAGGTGTAATTCTTATTGACCATCATATGAGATATTCATGATTGTCATATTATATATATATATATATATATTCATGTTTGTCTAGAGTTATTGTTATTATCATATTGGTAATTGCAATCACATAAAAGAAATTCTAGAAATCATTAAATAGTGATTGAATTAATGATAATTAAATAACTCAAATTAATAAATAGAGAATATTGTTGGTTAGTTCCGTATTCATAGGGTTTACTTTCATGATTGTCATATTATATATATATATAATATCATATTATATGTAGAGTTATTGTTATTATCATATTGGTAATTGCAATCACATAAAAGAAATTCTAGAAATCATTAAATAGTGATTGAATTAATGATAATTAAATAACTCAAATTAATAAATAGAGAATATTGTTGGTTACTTCCGTATTCATAGGGTTTACTAATTTAGTAGCAGCCAAAGTGGCCTAGATTTGTAAAACTTATGAATATAGAACTACATAAAAGAATTATTAAAAGGGTAACATTAAGGTTGATAATATTCTCAATTGCAATTATAATTAGGAGATTGAGACTAGCCCAAAGGAGAGTCACTTTCAAATAATTATAAACTGGGTAGAATAATGTAACTTATGTAATTTGACAGATTAGAATTGAATACCCAAAGGTAACATGACTAGCTGAAAAATTGCATAAATTACTTTAGATCTACATAAGTGATTCTTGACGAGTGGTGTAGACACCCCATTTTTGACCGACCTTAAGACTCAGACTTCATCGATTGAGCGCTCGGTGATGGTGCATGTTGTGCTCGTTTTGAGTCTTCGGAGTTTTGGCTGGAAGCCTTGCCTCTAGGCCTCTGAACTTTTTGTGCTTCGGCTCGGTTTGTGGACTGACCCTTGTTTTTTCTTCCCGGAGGGAGGGAGAGTACTTGTAGACCATCTCTTTGTGGTCATAGGCCACTTTTTCCGTTTGGAGACTAGTTTTCGATTTTCGGAGCCTTCGGCCGTGCGCCTTGTCTCGGGACCGCTTAACGTTCTCCGTTTGGCGTGATTTTTGAACCACACCTTGTTGCCTCTGCCTAGAGGGACACTGTGGTTCGGGAGACCACTTTTGTGGTCGCATACCACTTTTGGTGCTCGTCAGCTAGTTTTCGGGGCTTCCAGCCGCGTGCTTTGCCTCCTGATCTCTCGTCTTGCATCTGCTTTGGTTTGTTTTTGGTACAAACCTTGTTTTCCTTGTTTGGAAGGTGGTACAATGGTGGCAGATCACTTTTTCTCCTTGGAGACCACTTTTCCTCCTGCCAGCCAATTTCCTGATCGAATAACTGGCTTTCTTGGTCTTTGGACCTAAGAGTAGTAGCTATGGACCTAAGAGGACATGGGAAATCATCCACAGAAAATGAACTAGACCTATCAATATAGGTATGTATTTTTTGGGATATACTAGAACTACTGAAAAGGATGTGTTCCACTACTCATGCACATCATCTATTTTTTTTTTTTAATTTTAATCTCCAAAGATTTTTTTTATACCCATTTCTTTGCCTGAATTTAAGTGCTATTCTATTGGTTGCAGACTCTACACAAAGATGTGATTGATGTTGTGAAACCAATAGTAGATGACCAAAAAAGAAAAACAGAGAGCATAGTTTTGTTCTGTTGACACTATTGGATGCTTGCCCTTCTATTATGTCATAGGTTGCTCTTGAAACAGCGTGCTACAATGGAGGTTATTCAGTGGATGACTTTATGGAATACATTCAAGGATGAATTTGAGAATGAAAAGAACATGCTTGGTTATAGCGATCTCGGTTGTCCCTTTGCTGTTCTGTTGTATTTCGGACTCGGTTCCGTGAAGTTGGTAGTAGTATCTATCTTGTTGCCATCCTTTAATTCCTCTTGGTTGAGTTTTAGGATGTTTTGGCAGGGTTGTTACGGTTGGTTAGGACTTGGTTTTAATCCCTTGTTGTTCAGTTTTTAGGCGTTCCGCTCGAGCGGGTCTTCTTACGCTCAAGCGGGGATTGCACAAAACCAGTATTTCGTGTTCCTGCAAAACTTCTGCAGATGTGATTTTTACGCTCGAGCGGTAGCGCTCGAGCGGGTCTGTTGGCGCTCGAGCGGGTAGTACTTTCTGGGTACAAGTTCTAGGAGGGGGAAATCTATATAGCGATCCCGGTTGTCCCTTTGCTGTTCTGTTGTATTCCGGACTCGGTTCCGTGAAGTTGGTAGTAGTATCTATCTTGTTGCCGTCCTTTAATTCCTCTTGGTTGAGTTTTAGGATGTTTTGGCAGGGTTTTACAGGTTGGTTAGGACTTGGTTTTAATCCCTTGTTGTTCAGTTTTTAGGCGTTCCGCTCGAGCGGGTCTTCTTACGCTCAAGCGGGGATTGCACAAAACCAGTATTTCGTGTTCCTGCAAAACTTCTGCAAATGTGATTTTTATGCTCGAGCGGGTTTGTTTACGCTCGAGCGGTAGCGCTCGAGCGGGTCTGTTGGCGCTCGAGCGGGTAGTACTTTCTGGGTACAAGTTCTGGGAGGGGGAAATCTACGCTCGAGCGGACTGGTTTTCGCGCTCGAGCGGAAGTGCTTTATTCTTGTGTCTTGGCGCTCGAGCGGGCCTTATTGCACTCGAGCGTGTCCAGATTTTTGTTCTTGGCGCTCGAGCGTTGTGTTCTCCGCTCGAGCGGGTCATACGCATATGAGTTATCCGCTGGGTGATTTTAAATCACTTTTTGCTTTTCTTTCTCTCTCTTACTTTTTCTAAAAACCATTTTTGAGAGCCTCTCTCTCTAGAAACTCCCTTCTCTCTAGGGTTTGATCTAGTTAGAGTGTCCTCCTTCTCTTCGGCCTTTGCAATAATTGTGTTGATCGTCGAGGGCGTCGTTTTGATCCGAAAATCTTGGTATTTGGAGCACTTTGGTTTTGGTCTCTTCTCCTTCCGAGCTCTAACTTCGAGGTAGGGATATCTTACTCCTCTTTATGAGCTTTGTCTTTAAATTTTAGTATTTTGAGATGTTGGAGTTGGTTTGGTAATTTTGTAAAAGTTTGGGGCCACTTTTGAAAACATTGATATTTTATCTGTTGGAGCTTTTATTATCTGTTTAGAAATAATTGCTTGGGCTACCGGTGGAGGGTAGTTTTGATTGTTGTAGACAATGCATGTTGATTAGGCAAACTGAAACTGATCACTGGAATGTGTCATTGAGTCACATTATTGAAAGAATACATTAAATTTATGTGTTGTGTGATGATGTGTATAATTATTGTTTATATGCATTGTGTTGTGTTGGAGGAGATAGGGGATGTACTCCACGGTTTAGGGGAAGATAGGGGATAGACCTCTAAAGCGGATGTTGTTGGGAGGAGATAGGGGTAAGACTCCATAGATAGAGCTCATATGCTTATCTATTAATGTATTGACAGAGCTCATATGCTTGTCATTGGAAGTGTGATAGTGCTCATATGCATATCTGTGGAAATGATGATATAGCTTGTATACTTATCTGTTGGTGTGTGGTATAGCTAGTATGCTTATCTATCATGAAATGGGAAAGTGATTAATATGAGTTGCTGTCTCATATGAGTTGTTTGGCTAGGTTCTGAGCCATGGTTATAAATTGAGAATCTGAAAGGAATTGGAAAATGAATTGTAATATGGACTTGTATGTCATGAAACCGTAAAGTGTGATAAGGGAAAGTATCAGTGTTGGCCATCTATCAACTGCTAATCTTTTAGTCATTGTTCATATTTGGTTTAGTATATTTCTACTGGGCTGTGGCTCACCCTATATGGGAATATCATTTTCAGGTACAGGTAGCATGCCACCTCCAAGGACATAGCTTGGGAGGCTAGAGGCAGGCGGACTTTTGTTGTTTCCTTTCTTTGATGTATTACATGTATATTCAAGCCAAGGGCTTAATGTGTAAATGAGTTAGTACTCTTGTGTTGTAACCAAGTGTTAACTTGGAAAGCTGTAAGCCCTTAGGGCATTTGCTTTTGTTGTTAACATGTAATACTTTTGGTAATGGAACTCTGATGAATAGAAGAAAGTGGAACTTTTATATATCAATGCATGTTTATATTGTTGGGTTTAATGTTATTATTTTGAGGGCGTTACATTGGTGGTTCTTTAGGTAACCGAGCAGCTGAAGATTTGAGACAGAGAGTAATAGAACATGTAATTTTTCACTCATGTTCAATTATATATTTCAATTATATGCTGCAATGGTTCATCTACAAGACATTATTGTTTCTTGCAGAACATCCTTGTTGTCTCAAAGTATTACTGAAGGATTACCTTGGCGAGACTTGCTAAGCTGCTTTGTCTCATTGTTCAGGTATGCCAATACTTAATTGTGGTATAGTCATCATCAAATGTTTGTAATGTAATCATATAAATTTTTTGCCATATGGTTTTTTTTTTTATGAGAATACTTCATTTTGGATGTTTTTCTAGATTCTAACTTTTTTATTTTATTTGTAGGTGACTTCCAAAAACGATCAAGCACAAGGCTGATGCTTCAAAACCATATATATTCCTTCCTGTTTTAGAATTTTTTTTGGATTCCTTCGTTGATTTTCCTTTTAATTTTTGTTCAATTACTTACTAGTTTTCAATGGATGGATGTTTAAAACTTGTCTCAATTAATGTTTTGAATGGAATGATTGTAAAGTTTGGGATTGAGCAGGAAAATATGATGAATTTTAATGTTATATTTAGGTTGGGTTGAATGAATTTTGTTCAATATTGGTTTGAATGTTTATAAATAAAAATTGATTGTTCAAAAAAAAAAAAAAAAGAGATTCGGCGACTAACTAATTAGTCGTTGATTGTTTAATGTCTATTGGCGACAAAATATTTGGTTGAGAAAAGTTTTGGCGACTAAATAATTGGTCGCCAAATTCTACACTTTTGCGACTAAAATCATTGATCGGCAATTCCTTACCTTTTGGTGACGAAAATAGTTGGTTGCTGATTTTTTGCTTTTGGCGACCAACATATTTGGTCGGGAAAATATCACTTTTTGCGACCAAAGTGTTTTAGCGACTAAATGAATTAGTTGCGGTAATAATATATTTAGCGACCAAAAATTTAGTCGGCAAATCTAACTTTTTCCCGACTAACAAAAGTTTTGGTCGCCAATTACTTTTGCCGACCCTCAATTGGCGACCAAAGTGGCGACCAAAAAAATTGGTTGCGAATGACTTTTGCCAACTAAAAATGGACTTTTGCCGACCAAATTTTTAGTTGGCAAAAGTGTAATTTCTTGAATATTAATATTGTCGACCAATCTTTTTGGTCATGGAATGTATTGCCGACCAAATTTTTTGGTCGCGGAATGTGACAATTGGCGACCAAATTAGTTGGTTGTGGAAATGGGCGACAATTGCCGACCAATATAGCGACCCCGGCCTTTTCCCATTTGGTTGTTGTATCCGGACTTAGGTTCCGTGGATCCTGTTGTTATATAATTGTTGTTGTCGTCCTTTAATTTCTTATTTATGAGTTATGGGATGCATTGGGCAGGTTTGTTACAGGTTGGTAGTGTTTGGGAGTAAAGGGTTACTGCCCAGAATTTTGGCCCTTCGCTCGAGCGAGCAGTTTGTCGCTCGAGCGAGCTCTTTGTTTTTGGTCCTTCACTCGAGCCAAGGTTTCTTCGCTCGAGCGAGTGACTGCGTCTGGGCTTAGACCTGAGAGCTGTGTTTCTTGGCTCGAGCAAGCTTTCCTTCGCTCGAGCGAGCGAGGTGTAAGTTTTCCAGTTCTTCGCTCGAGCGAGCATTCTGTCGCTCGAGCGTGCTTCTGGGTTGCAGACCTGAAGCTTCGAGTTTTTGGCTCGAGCGAGACTTTCTTCGCTCGAGCAAGCTTTCTTGTGTCTGGTCGCTCGAGCGACCAATCCTTCGCTTGAGCGAGCCTGTTTTATATAAATTTGCCGGATTTTGACTCTTTGGTTCAGATTAGGAACCGACACAAAAGAAAGTCGAGTCCGAGCTGTAGCGAGGTCCCCCGCGGGCTTGTTACACTGTCGCTCGAGCGTGCTTCTGGGTTGCAGACCTGAAGCTTCGAGTTTTTGGCTCGAGCGAGACTTTCTTCGCTCGAGCAAGCTTTCTTGTGTCTGGTCGCTCGAGCGACCAATCCTTCGCTTGAGCGAGCCTGTTTTATATAAATACGCAGCAGCGGGGAAAATTCAGTTTTTTTATTCTCTTTGATTTCAAAACCCTAGGTCCGTGTTCTCTCTCCCTCTACACACCTTCTCTCTTAGGTTTCATCTATTTTTAGGGTGTTTCTACCCTAGGCTCTTTGTTAAAAAGATAGAGTGGGTTGAGGGCTTCGTTTTAATCTGAAGAACTTGGGATTTGGAGCACATTGGTTTTTGATCTTCATCTCCGTTTGGGTTCTAACTTCGAGGTAGGGATTTCCTACTCCATATTATAGGTTTTGTCCTAAGTTTTGGTATTTTTGATATGTTGGTGTCGTTTGGTAATTTTGGAAAAATTAGGGTTTGAATTATAATTTGAAAAGGGGGTTTTTCATCTATTAAACAACATATGTCTGTGTGTTAAATTGAGATAACTGAACCTTAGGGTTGATTTTGAGAAAAGGGGGAAAAGCCCTAATTGTTGTAATAAAATTAATTCGTATAATTAATTTTGGGAAAAATGTGGAATTTGGTTTAATTCATGAAATTGAGAAGTTATGAGATTAAATGGTGTAGTTGGATAATTTAATCACTCACCTATGGAAATGTTGAGATTATAATTGTTGATACATTT